AACTGGAATTTGCGCAACCGGCGAGCGAGCACGAGAGAGAGAGAGAGAGAGAAAGAGAGAGAAGAGGAGATAGAGATAGAGCCGCGCCGCGCTCTGTACATTATTAATCGACACACCTTTAGTCAGCGGAATCTAAACGTCACGCCGCGTTAATTTATGGTTCATTCCGTCGTTTAAGCAAATTCATTCCTGGCAGCTTACCGTGTGCATCGCACACAATACCGTATAAATAAAGATTTGTGTAAATTAAGGCCGTGTGTTAACGAAAACTGGCCGGAGAAAACACGTAATTAATTGAAAATTTTCCGACGTTCAAAGACCGGAACGCATGAGAGATCCTAAAGTTTCAATCTTCGAACCCTTTGCGGCCAACAAAACTAGCGGGAAATAAAGGTTTTTTTTTTTCAAATAAAATTCCGCGTTAAAAAAATATTATCCTGCTCGTATACCACCACGTGTGCGTGGTGGCGTAATGCGTAACGACTGATTATCTCGGTTTTTCTCTATTGAGCGCGCGCGCGTCTCGCGCAAGTCTCTCGCGCGGTGAAGCAAAGCGGAAGACAAAGGGGACAGGCGTACGCGCGCGCGCTGCCGTACGCAATGCAACGCGCTTATATACCGACGCGCGGATGGACAGATAGGTAGGTAGGTAGGTAGGTAGGTAACCCGAGACTCGACGAGAGGTCAGCCTTCGTAGATTGACGGACGTGATAAATCGAGCCGCGCGGTGACACCAGGCTCGAGTGACGCGTGAGCGAGGCGGCGGCGATGGTACGCGACGCGACAACCCACTGACCTGCGAATCCAATGCATAGAGTTTCTCTCTCGTGGTGCGGTCTCTCGCGCGTTACGTATACACACACACACACACACGTGTATAATATAGGTGCGCGCGCGCGCGCGCGAAAGAGAGAGAGAGAGTCTCGTAAATATTCCTGTTTATACGTCACCCGCGTAATACCGAGCATCGTGCGCGCGGATAGTCGGGAGGGAGAGGAAAAGGGGAGGGAGGGAGGGAGAGAGAAAGAGAGAGAGGGTGCGGTATCGAGCACCGGATTCCTGAAATAGAACGAAGCAACGCGCGCGCGTCTATGACGCGATATATCCGGGTCGGGAGCCGGCGAGCGCTGTGCGGGAAATCGTGGTCTATCGAATTTCAAACGCGATCGTAAAAATGCAGCAGGCAGTCTCCCGGATTCGAGAGACCGCCGCGGCCGCACTCGCCGAAGACCGACCGCTGCCGCCGCGAAGAATCGGCCGCCGAAGATGAAGATGTCACGGCGTGTAACGCACGACGCGCGTCTTAAGTGCAAGTTTTTCATGCGCACGTGAAACTTATCAATTTTTTTTTCGAACAAATTTTCTTTGAAGAAAGCTGACGATGTCGTCAATACAAAAAAAAAACATTCGCATTTGTTTTACGCTTTGAGACACGATGTTAAATATCAGTGTGTCAAGCGCAAGTATTCGTGCGAACAGATTTGCATCCGACGCGACTTTGAGGAAGAACAGGGAACGGTCGACAACAAGGACAACGCGGAACACGACAGACGAGACCAGATACCGCATTGTACCGGTCGGTGATAAAAGCTGTCGCATCATTGCGGCGGCGCATATCTATATATATATATATAGAGAGAGAGAGAATTCGAGAAAGAGAAAAGCGAAGGCAGAGAAGGGCTGGACGAGAGAAAGAGAGCGGATGGAAAAAGGGATAGCAGAGCTCGAAAGATCGAGCTCGCGAGATAAAGAAGGTCGGACAATAATACCTTGGGTGCACCCTCGGTCCCGTGGTAGCGGGAGCGCAGCAGGCAGCCATTATATTGTTTTACCTCTGTATCTCGAGCGGAGATCAGTGAATATGCCGCGGCAGACTGAATGTACACACGCGTCTTCGATGAACAGAGAGACGAGGAAATCCGGAAGAAGGAGCTCACAAGGGAAACTCAACCCCGGGACGGGTGCGCGCGACACAAGGGTTGCGATACACAAGTGCATTAGTGAAATTGATGATAAGTTAGTTCGCGAGCTGAGGCGAGTACAAAAATGAGAAAACGCGACAGATGTTGTTTGTCTTCGCGCAAAACAGTGCGCACTAAATTTTTTTTTTTTTTTTTTCATAAAAAAATCAAATTTACGTAAAACGCGTTTATCGCGCGTATTCTCTTCGCTCTTTCTCATCCCGAGAGAGAATCAACAAACTAACCAGTTAAATAAAATTAGATCGAGAGAATTACGGAGACTATGAATTAATGCGCAATGCACAATGTGTCACAAAATCGCGACGCGAACTTCGCGCGCGTCAAGGAATTTTCTCATCGACCATTGAGACATTCACGGTACCGCGCGTATCAGCGATATTGAAGTAGCAGAAAGGCATTTGACATTCGGCGTTTCCTCCGTCAGCGACGCTCATGGGGGGGGAGAGGGGAAGAGGCTCGAGAGGTGAAAAAACAATGCCGCAGCGACCCCAAACCCCTCCTTCCCCTTCATTTCGATCACGATAAAGACTCTTTCCGCTCTCTCTTCCGTCTCCCTTTCGTAAACCCTCCTCCTTCCTCTCGCTGTGTCTCCCCCGCCGGCGTATTCCGTTCTCGCTCGGTGAAATTCTTCTGCATGCCTTTGCGTCGTTTCGTCTCGCGCAACGCGGTACAATGCAACCCCGGGACGCATTGTGGATCCAGTCTCTCACCCGACTGTACCCCGTTGACTGTTGTACCACCGGTGATGCGACTACGCACATCTAAGCTCGACCGATTGTGTTCCGAGGAAAGGCGAGCTTCTCTGTCTCGTGGACTCGTTGAAGATTCGTTCGATTGATAATACATATTGGAAAAACACTAGAACACACCGCATGATCCATCACGAAAATGAGTTTTTGTGTCAAAAACCTCGAAAATTGCGAGAAAATGTGACGAAGTAATTTTCATCGTCCGCGAAGGAAAATTTCTCTCTCTCTCTCTCTCTCTCTTACGTGTGTCTCTATATTTTTTTTGATAAAAATAAAAACGAGAAACAACGGCGCTTTCTGATCAATGAGAGGAATATGTGTGTGTAAAAAAAAAAAGAGATAAAAAAACGCGAAACTATTATTGTACCCTCGCCGATTGGGCTATTTATCTCTCGAACTTTTTATAGAAAGCGCGAAGAAAGTGTATAATAAACATACAACAACGCAGTGTCCGTTGGGCACAAAGGTATCGACGTTATCGGGGATATCGTGAGAACCGCTGAAGACTTAAATAACTCCCTTTGAGGAGATGCGCGCGTACATAGTAAGAGAGTACTTAGAACACGACGACGACGACGAAGGGTGGTTTTAACGCGTTGCGATAATTAATTAGAACAAAAGAGACACGCGCGAAGTTTGCACTGACGGGTTTAGATTCTCGGCGAAAGAAGCCTGAGGCAGAAATGAGACCGAAGGTTTCTGTTTGAAATCAATGCGAATTTTTAGGCGGATCGAAAAATCTTTTTCCCACCCTTTGGGGAGGGAACAAGTGCGGCGCCTGAAGCTCGGCGTGATGATTGCGCCATAATCTGCTTTCGCTTTGCCTTCCCGAGGGCCGCGAGCGTCGTTGGGTCTTCCGTTTCGACCGGTACGTCGACAACAGTCGAGACACTTAGGGAGGATACGCGAGATAGACGTGGAGAGAAGGAGATACGTACGTACACACACGTCGACGGGGGGGAGAGCGAGAGCGCGAGATGACGACGAGAGGGAGCGGAGGGTGAAACAACCCTCCTGACACGGGTTATCCTATAAACGATTACCACCCCCGCAGCAACACACCGATAATCCGGCCCCCGGGGCCCGCATGCGGTTGAGCGCTCGCTACAGTTACCATATTTGATTGTGTGCCCCCTTTCTACCCCTTCTGCAAGATCGGAATACGAATAATACCAAATACACGTGGTGCCGCAAAAAGATCCTGTGTTTCTGCAAACACATTTCCTCTGTAGAATTACACACTTGTTTTGTTGTACTCTTTGTTTTGCAAAAGATCGATGTGATCTAATATTAATTTTTAAATAGACATAAAAAAATGTTTACGTCTCACGAAGATGTTTTGTCAACAATCGTACGTTATTCGATCGAGCATTGCGCAACGTTTTCGCGAACAATGGCGGATCTTTCTTCGCGACGCGAGCGATAAATAAAAAATCGAGGGGAACTGTTTTTTCGCTGTGCCTGACACACCCTGCGTCGCGGCGGGAAAACGCGCGGGGAAAGAAATCGCGCGTTTGATGTACCGCCAAAGGGAACATGGGCAAGCAGGAGAGAGAGAGAGAGAGAGAGAGAGAGAGGAGGGGGAGAATCGCCGTCGGTGGCGGAGTAGTTTTGCGTGGGTTGTTCGGTCGACTGCAACCACGTTTCTGCGCAACCCCCTGCGCTTCCCGCGACCCGCGCGGCCCACTCTGTCGGTCCCCTCTGTCTTCTTCTCTTTCTCTCCCTCGCGTTCGCTCCGTCTCTCGCTCCGTTCGCGTTTCCTCTGTTTCTCCGTGCTTCGAAAGCCGCGCTTAAACGTTACCGGAAAATTATTACCGGAAAAGCGTTGCACACACGCGTGCGGTGAACCGCGGGACCCACCGACGGAATTACATTGATATTAGTATCGTTTGGCCCGACAGATTAATTAATTAAAACGCGGTTCTCTCTCTCTCTTCTCTCCCCGCGGCTCGCTCGCCGCCTGTGGCCACTTCGCCGCACACGCATTTCGCGCTAACGCTTTAACACAGAGAAAGAGCCGGAATATCGCGCGCAATCCCGACAATTGTCGAAGGCCTTCGTCGTGCACGCGAAACCCTTCTATTAAATACAACATCCTTGGCTGCGAATATACACGTGTACACAATTTGTATTTTCATTACGGACACACGCGGATATCGCGTTTTCTTTAATTGTCGACTTTTTTGTTTTGTACAAAAAGCGCCAAGAGATTTGTCGCGCACAGAAAAACAAGTCGCTCATTGGAAGCTGATAATTCGGTCGGACTTACCCTTTTTCGCGTGCAATATGTCCGCCGGATCCGGTGGCAACGACGAACAATGGCTCGGACTCAAACTAGATTGTATCGACGAAAACGGGCTCCCCGCACTCGACGGATACCTAAGATAACGACCATTGTTTGCAAATACGCACGTGCTATATAATATAAAGTAAAAAATTACATCACACCGGAAAGAGATTATCGAGTTTGTGCCGCAAAAATAAAAAAAACGTTCCGCGAATGTAAACAAATTTAGAAACTTTCTTTAGAACAAGCTTAAAATTTTCTTTGCTCCATGACAAGAGATAGAAAAATAAACAAAACAAAAGTTCAAAATATTTTTCATATTCGACTGCGGAACACACGCTGTTACGCCGAACAATACGAATCTGCCAATGAGTGTATGTGTTTTACCAAGGATTGGGACGCGGCCAGCCGGTAGTTTGCCCGTTCAGTAGCCTCAGTTTATCGTAAACACTTTCCGCCGGACTACCAGCACCAACACCAACTCCCACGGCGCCGACTCCTTGCTGCTGCTGCTGCTGCTGTTGTCTCTGCTCTTTCTGCGCGGCCAAGTTCCTCAGCACCCTGTTGATCGACGACACCTACAAACAGAACGTGTATATTTGTTACTAAAACAGATATTAATCGTTTGCTAGCGTAATTAAGTGCAACCGTATTGCATACTGCGCATCAAATCTAAAAAAAAAACAAACAATTTTAATATTTTAATATTTAAAAAATATTTTATTGCGATACAAACAATTGATATTGCATTAATGTTTGTCTCAATGTTTGTGTTTTAATTCTCAATTAAAAAACTCAGCAAAAAAACTTTTTTCAAGAACGTTCTCGGAGAGTCTTCCTAGTGTGATCTGAAGAATTTCCACCCCTTCATACCCCTTTCCGTATTAGATTTATTATAAACACGAGATGTGGGGGAGGAGGAGGGCGGGGGAAAGCGATGAAGATTCGGAGGACGAGAGGAGAGCGGAGGCTTCTGCCCGATGAAATGCGACGAGAGCGGTAATTAAAACGATGCGGTGAGCGCCTGCCGGCGCGGCGCACTACACGAGGGAGTTAATTACCTCCGCCTTCAATTATATCCGTCTCCACGCTACCTACTCCCTTGGCGGGAGGGACTTGGCTTCTGCCGACGTAAGTACGCACTCGCGCGCGTGGATTAACGCTCGCGAAATCCGCGATCGCTATTAACTCTCTCTTAAGTGCGCGCCCGCCGCAACTAGCACATTGATAATAACGCGTGTGTGTCATCGTATTCTCGGTTATATGACAACCGGGGATTTCAACCAGAGATCCCCGAAACGAATTTTCCGTTACATGTGCATTTGATTTATTTACAGTAATTATATTCACAGAAATTAATGTAAAAATATATACATACTTTTACACATAATATGTAATTTAACGCATGAAATATATTCAGTAAATAATAATAAAAGAAATAAAAATATCGTGTAAAATATATTAAATAATAATTAAAAACTTAATTAAAACATTGGAAATTATAATGTTTTTATGATTTATAAAAAATATGTTAATGAGTAAAGCGAAAATTACATATTAAAATTTAATAAAAAAGATTTATTTCTTGGAAACTACACTCGGTTAGGCCGAGGACTTTCGAGGCTCTCACCACGTGTGTGTAGACAATCTACTTTTGTGAATACGAGCGCGACAAAATATCTACGACATGAGGAATTTACGATCTTCCGAAGAGAGCGTCGCGTTTTTTTTTTTGTTTTTACTCTTATACTTTTTATTTGTCTTTGTCTACGGACTGTCTTCGTCGCTTCTGTCACTTACAGGTCGTATAAATCTCGACAGAGCCGTAAAAGAATTTCCACGAAACTAAAGCTGCACATTCTCTCTCTATCTCTCTCTCTTTCTCTCTGCTATCGATAGATTTGCAATTTATTCCCCCCGCACTTCAAGAATTACACCACGCACGTCGCGATGTCCGTACATTAAAAGTGCAATAAAACATCGAAAGTTTTCAATTTCGCGCTTTTTCGCGACGTGTCGTTAAGAGTATCGAAAATTAATGGGTTTGAGAAATTTTATTCGACGCGACACGTTCTGAAAGAAGTAGATAAAAACATCGTAAATTTTCTTCCTCCTAAAGTATTTTATATTGTTTCTTACACTTTTTTAAATTCTTTTTTTAATACAAAAAAAACTCGTTTTAATGATTTTGTCAGTTTCCTAAATTACGACAAGCCAAAACTCCGTTAACTCCGCAAGAATAAAATCCGACAATAAAAATTAAAAATTAAGATGAGAGAGTTTCTGAAACGCTCTACGGGAAAGAATTTGCCACGATTGTACATGTCGCGCGCGTCTCGGTTGTGCTATTTTATGGCGCCGGATCAGAAAACGGAATAAGACGCACGAGAGAGATCGCAGGCGGATCGGTCATAGAAGATACTCGTTCCCCGGGGTTTGTTAGACCCGGTGTCAGGGTTCCACAGCGTTGAAACGAGCTGACATCTCGGACCCACCACCGGAGCGAAGCGTCATCCCCCTCGGCGCGTCCCTCGACGGCCACTGTCGCCAAACCCACCACCACAGAGCCGCACGATCTCGTCGCGTCTCGCCGCCGCTGACGCGAAATAGACGTCACCGGCACTCACCCCTCGTCTTGTCCCCCACCGATCATGTCCGAAACATCCCCTGGCCCTCCTCACATTCCTCCGAGAAAATTCAAATGTCTTCCGGCAGCAAATTAACGACCTCCATGATGTAAGAGAGAATTTAAGTAGATGTTTCCCTCTCCTCTTTAATTTTCATTATCTATTTTCTCATCTTTTTGAAATATTTAAACACAAAAATGTTTCCTAAAAAATTTTCACATAACATGAAGTTTTGACTTGAATCAAGTCGTCAAAAAAAAAAAAAAAAAAAACACGAAAACGCACGCAATCTGCCGGATTAGACGAGAGACTGGGCTTCTCGACGATTCCAAGCTGCGATGGTGAAGTTGGCCGATGTCAAAGCTGTTTCACAATGAAAAGTCATTGTCGCGCACAAAGAAGGCACTCTCGGCGACAAAGCCCAGAAACCGAACGAGAGCGACGGCTGCCCGTCAAGGGACAATCGGCGCCTCACGTGACATCGAGTGTCCCCAGGCTGTTTGACCGTTTTTTGATTGACGTCGACCGCAAATATCGCGCTGCGGCTGCTTCTCACAACCGCCGTGATATATTTACGACGTGTGTCACCTCTCTCATTATTCTTGTTGTGCCTTGGAAACCGATACCACAATGGGTACCCCGTTCTTGTAACGAACCACTTGCGAAGTTTTACGAAAACATCTCTCCTCCACTTCCTTCTTTTCATCCGAGACACTTCCTTCTCGATCAACGAAAGTGGATGCGTGCGCGCCACAAATAAAAGATATTATTTTATACCCCTCTTAAGTTTTAATGACTGAGTGTGTTTCGTACCGAATTTTATTAATTAATTATCACTAACGCAAAATTCTGTTTCGCAAAATTATTTATCAGCGGATATGAATTCAGTGTAAAAATGTTGGTCCTTTTATCGTCCAGAAAGAAATCGGGTGGATAATGAAGGACTCGCTTTATGAGCTTACAGCCGACAATAGGATTCCCGACACACTTTCGCGGGTTGCGCCATGCGAACGGCGTGAAAAATAAAAGAAGGGAATGTAATAGTTACGTATATATCCTTCATCCCCGCGTGTAGCGCACAAAGAGACGCGGACACGCGGCGGGAGCTTAAAACGAGAGGAAGAAGTCGGATCGATAAAATTAGCATGAAGCGTGAAGAGCTCGAGGGTGGCCGAACTCTTAAAGAGGGTGTTGGATGGAGACGTCATAATATTGCTCTCACATGACACTTACGCGAGTTGTTAAGCGGAAATTCTCTCGTAACGAAAAATCCTCGGCGCGGTTTTTTGAAACAGCCGAGCCTATTTCGAACGTGCTTTGTAAATATCGTTTTCAAAGAGAATTTCTATCTGTCGTTCGGCGTTTGTTATTTTTTTCTTTCGCGATATACTTTTCATTGGCTGTGTTTTTAAAAACACGCAAGAACAAAGTTAATTTAGCCAGAGAGAATTCAATTAATTCAAATGAGTCGACAAAATAAATTTCCCAGTTTTTAACTTCAATTTTATGTATTGTTTTGTATTTTTACTAGCACAACACACAGGCGCGCGCTATCCAATCAGCGTCGAGATAAAAGTGGCAACAGTCGATATCGAGAGAATCGGTTGTGATTATTTATATACGTGCTTTTTCTGGTAGAATCTTGGGTTCAAAAAATATTCTCGATTAAAGCTCGCGACGTATGTTATTTTTCGGTCGAATTGCGGAAGATCTAATTTTAGCGCCGCGTCTCCGAACTCGCATCAGAGGGAGAAGATTTTAATCACCGAATAGCGGGATGTTAGGGAGACGACAACGCAGAGTCCGCGTAATAGTGCGTATATTATCTCTTAATGTGTAACGGACTGCGTGTACGAAAGGAGAGACAGAGAATGTGTGTGTGTGTGTGTGTGTGTGTGTACGCGTGCGCGCGTGTGTACGGCAGCAATTTTTACGAGTGCTTATTCGCGGTAGTCGCGTATTTCCTGTCTACTTCCCCCCCTCCCCTCTTCCCCCGGCTCGTTCATATGTATGTATGAGCCGAGGGTGTTAACCGTGAAGAGAGCGGAAGAACACGAAGGGTGCCACAACTTTCTCTCTTTTCCTCTCCATTCAGACTACTTCCGTTATCTTGGGGGTCCGAACGAGCCTCGCTCTATACAGTACGGCTTTATTATCGCGAAAACATCCTGGAAATAATAGTCGCGGGCGATTCGACACGCGTAATCACAGCGGCGGCGACACTTCATGAAATATTATTCCGAAGAATCGCGAAGCAAAGGGAGATGCGAACGACTCGGTCGTTCAGTCACTCTTTAGAAGAATTAATTTTGCGTTATCGCGCGACGGTACGTGTGATGTGCAAATGAACTTCTGATATGCGCGCGGAGAAATTAGCGATAATTCGGTTTTGAACGCGAGACGAAAGTGTCCGCGTGAGATCTGCGATCCCCATTGATATGGCGCGTTAATCAGGGACTTGCGTTACAGCTTCCTGCGTGCGTGTTTGGTATTTGAAACGGGAGTGGTGAAGAATACTTGGGCACGTGCTGGCGACATCCCGCGTACCGAGAGAGAGTCGTAACGCGCGCGACTCGAAAGTGAGCAAAATGCCATAACCTGTCATTAAATCGCCCCTCGATCGAGGGAGCAGAGGTGGATGTTACCTCGCTCTCGAAATTACGGGTTTCGAGCTTCCTGTCTCGATGTAATGACAGTATGTGCGACGCATTGTATCGCGTATATGTGGTTTTTCTTTTCCCTCTCTGTAACCGCGATTTTAAACGAGTTTTTATGCTGAAATTGCAGCTTGCCAAGTTCATCCTTATCGTTCAATAACACATGTAGTTGCGATAAATTCGATAATGTCCCACCAAAGTTTTCAACATTACGTTTGTACACATTTGTACATAAATTACAAAATTGATAAAATACATAAATAATAATATAAAACATAACATATGTCACATAAC